GGGATAGTTTATTTTTATATAATTCTTACATATTATTTTTCTCCGAGTAGATGATTATTTCTTATCAAACGTTAAGACTGTTGATGAAGTAACAGAAGAAAGAAAACAACGACTTCTGTCTACAACGAAGTGGCGATCAAATGTTATAAACGCAATATCAACTTGGCCATGTCTTAATGTTCTTAAAGATTTGCCATCTGCAGAATATAAAGGAAAATCATGTGCAGGATGCCAACAGCTTAAAATTCATGCTAGAGTTTTATTATATGGTCAACCATATAATGCAACTACATTGGAAGGTTCTCCACCTGATCCAAGGATACCTCAAGAAAAAGTATTACTTAAACTATTTCTTAATTGTTAAGTGCTTTCTTTTTGCTAAGTAAATTATTTCTATAATTAAATTAATCATTCAATTCTTAGGATTTTTTATTATGTCGAGTATGTCAAGCAAAAGTAGCTCTGTACAATAAGGTAGCACATCAAAAATATTTGATGTTTTTGGAATGTGCAAGGAGGGTAGCAGATAAAAGAGTAGCAGATCCTCATAAAGATACCACAATAATATTGAACGAATTATTAGCGGATGAAACATGGTTAAATCAAGTAAGTAATGAATATATTTTTAAAATTACTGATGCTGTAATATATTTATAATTGGGATAACCAATCAAAACATAAAATTTTTTTCTAGTTATTTAAAGAGGTCAGAAAAATCTGGGCAGAGATAGATAATTTAGAACATCAAGCTAAAACGAAGTCAAATTCAAAATTCAAATTATCTACTACAGCGAATAATGCGGAAGAAATGGATGAAAATGTTTCAACAACGCAATCAACTGAAGTGACTGTTAATATTTCCGATTCACAGGTGCCTACACAAAAAACTGAAGACAATTCTGAAACAGTGTCTTGCGACGTGCAAATGAACAGTATACCATCTTAGTGGTGCTACAGTAATCGAAATTGGTTCTGTTTCATACAATGTCTCAAGACCATTAAAGATTTAGTGATATATTGATTTAATGGACACAGAGTTAATACCAATCTCGAGACCAAACAATTAAATGTTGTATTTTGAGGATGGTAAATATTTAAATTGAGTTAATACTACACGCTGTGACGAATGGTGAAGTTATATGTTAATGTGTAATCAAGAAACTGTAGTTATAGTGATAAGAAGTAGTGAACGACGAGGTAAGTAAGTAAACGACTTGCGTATAAACACCAGGCATATGTAAAATATTCATCCCCGCATAAAAATTAGAAATGAGCCCTAACTTTGCCATTGTAGTAGCATAATAATAGAGATCTACGAATGTTTGTGTGCATAGACATTTAGTTCTAGCATTTGTATCGTGATAATCTTACGTAATAATGAGGTCTGATGCGTTAAGATCTGAAAAATACGAAAGACAAATGATTTTAAGATATAAAGTGATATGACGTACAGAACGTCGCGACCTTCTGTAATATATTTACATACATCACACTTTCTGAAACCATGAAGGTCTGTTCTCTGCAAAATGCAGAAACTGTTATACTGTTTGTTCCTCTAATTGTAATTTTGAAATTCATTGTGCATTTTATTTACAAACTAGCTTACGTCTATCTTTTTTAATGATTTAACACATGTAAACAATATTTATGTTCATGTTAATTTGTATATAAGCAGTTCATACAACTACAAAATTCATACGTATAAAATACGTTAAAGTATCCAGGGGTGTTCCAAGATAGCATTCTTTTAATAAAACGTTTCATGGTGAATGCAATATTTTGAAAATATGCATTGTTCTCTTACTAGAAAACATTAGATACCTTGTAGAAGATTTGTATATAAATGTACTTTTAATAAGATTAGGAATATGTTTTATGCACTTTTAATTCATCATATGTTGACATGCAGCCTTTTATCAACTATATGTATCACTTCTTCCATTGCAACAGCTTAATAATTCACTACCAAGTTTCTGAGTTCTTCCATCATAAAATAACTTTTATAAAGCAATTCCAACATTCTCATTTTACAAAATATGAACAAAATATTAACTTTAGATCATTTATTTTTGTGAATAATCTTGTGACTAGCAACATGCGCATATTGTATATGAAGTATGAGTGAATGTTGCATAAAAAATGTATCTATTTTCATAGAAATTCTGGTAATATCAATGCTTTAAGGTCTTTGATCTTATGAGCAAAATTACATTTTTTACTACTTATCCTATTATCAAAGTTTACATCATATCTTCCTTTTTCAATCTTATGTAATAATCAATGAAAGGTAGACAAAATATTAATAAATCAAAAAGTTTTTTTTATTGTTTGGAAGCGTCTAAACTTGCAACATGCAGCAAATGTTTTAGCAATATTAATAGATTTTCATTTTATCTAATAATTGCAGTAGTTTAATGACGTAATAGAAAGAAATTTTATTTCACTATTAACATTTTGAAAATTTCAAATATAAATATACCTTATTATTAAGGACGCTTCTATAGATACCTATGAATAGGTGATAGAAATTTAACAATAAAATAATATTTCCTAACAATATTTCTGTACATTAAATATTATACCCCAAATTACATTAATATTATTATGTTACAATAATTATCGTCATCATTTTCATTATAATTATTATTATGATTGTTTAAAATTTAAGTTCCCTAAGTTTTTGATCTGTTTTTAGCTTTGTTAAGGAAAAAGATATTCTCTAAAACCAAGAGTGGTGATATGCGTGTGTGGCGCGAATGTATTTTTCAAAGACAATATATCAAATTATATTTGTAAATTATAAAAAGTATGATTGTAAGGACAAGTGACTGCTATGATAAAGCCATAGAGCTTTAGATATCTTTGATATGCTATAATGAATTGAAATTATTGTCTTAGCAATTACCGTCGGGTTACCGAGTTATATAATAAATTATTGGAGAAAACTATTAACTTCAAACCTAAAAAAAATGCGGGCATTTGGTCACTGACGCAGTAATAATAAAGGAAAGTATGCAGTTACAGAACATTTTCTTTTTAGCAAATGTGCCATGCAATATTTCGTATCGATAGAAAGGCCGGTGCCGTATATATGTACATATACCGATTTATTATCCAGATTATTCAATTAACATGATTTGAATCTGTTTAGTTGTATGCACTGTAGCTTTTTCAGTCATTTGTTTTAGCAAAAGTGACAAAAAAATGATGAATCAAAGTATTATATATGGCACCAACTTGAAAACGTTATTACTGACATTATAGAAGTTAATATTATTGTTACATTGTATTTTTCTTTTTAAACAGAAAAATGTATGTTTATTTGTTCGATCATAAACTTATTGCTTTCTAAATCATGGTGAAGATTAAGCATAATTTCTTAATCATGAGGTTACAGTATTTCTGTTATTACGATTTAAAAAAGAAGA